TTTATCATTACAGCAGAGAGGGCAAATTGATCATTATAGCACCCTCCATAGAGAGGGCAAATTGATCATTACAGCACCCTCCATAGAGAGGGTAGATTGATCATTACAGCACCCTCCATAGAGAGGGTGCATTCATAATGAACTATTCCAACTTATGAATTGGAAGAGTTCCAATGTGTGTTCAGGGGTGAATGAGTTAACTATGTGTGACAGTATAGATCAACTAGTGCATTTACTCTATACATTATGAATTAAGTGCTTTTCAACAAAAACTAGGATAAGTATGTCTCTCTAAAACTTTTCAAGGAAATGTTATCATTAATCCCATCTTTCCGATATTTCTGAAGAAATATGGGTTTTGTTAAAGCTGTTTGATAAATATATCTGACTTGCGATCAGACATCCATCTTAGACAGGAAGGGGACAGGATTTGAGGTGGTGGTGTCTGAACTCAGTTAAGTGCTTCACCCCCAAAATACTACACATTGACCTACATTTCACACATGACACTGATGGTAAAACAAAGGGTCAGTGTAAATCAAGGTCAAAGTTTGGCAACCTCAGATACTGACCTATACAAACTTAAAACTTATTGTAAAACAAGGGGTCACTGTAAGTCAAGGTCAAAATCTGCTGACCTCAGATGTAACCCTGTCACAACCTGCAGCTGTAACATCAAAGTGACAGCAGTGGTATGAAGTATACTGGTACTTGTAGTTAAGTGAGCACACTTGTGACAAATTACAGACATTTAACATGACTGAGGCTTCCTCACTGTCAGCTGGTCGAGCATGTCTACATCCACTCCCAGTATCCCCTGACAACGACCTCCAGGTCAGCGTAAAACCCAAAATTATCCTAATTACAACATCGTCAACTCTTTCATATATTCAGTTCAGAAAGGTTTTATCAATTGATTTGATAATGGACATTGGAAATTTGCTCTACTCTACTGACTATCTGTAATTGACAGCCCACAAAATTCCGTTTGATTCTTTGACAAATCATCTGGTACCAAAACTTGTATTGCAATACTTTCAAAAGAAGTATTTTTCTAAAGATAACTGTAAAAATAAACAGTTGAGTATGTGTACATGTAGGTAGAAGGCTGACACTGTGACATCATGAAACAGGTTTTCAGAGATTACATACCATTTGATACTGCACATATATAAGGGAACCTTTGGCCAGGGAAACATGTAAGTGGTCCTCAGAGACTTGTAGTACATCTGCCAAATTCTAATCAGACACCTGTTCCAATGGCATCATACCTGTACTAATGACAAATGACCAGGTACCACAGGTAGTACAGGTAGCCAGGGGCCATCAGTGATAGGTAGTGTGGAGGAGGATGATCTCACCCTGTCACTCAATCAAATGTCCACGCTGTAACAAGCTTGACAAACATTACCTAAACTTGCACAGGAAGTCACCCATGTCAACCTTCTTATAATCATCACTGAACATTATATTGTAATTTAAGATTTTTAATTCAAAACGGTGCCATTCTAGATCTGTTGCCAAGGGGAACAAATACACAGCAAATATGGATAAAATTTCAATCATATAGGGAATCATGCCAGTAACATTGATGGATTCAATGCTAAAATAATGTTCAAATAAATATTTTTTAAAAGTTTTGTAATTTAATGAATCATTATATTATCTAATGTGCCTAACTTGTGCACCCCATTAGATTTTTTTCTTTTCTTACTTTGAACAACAAACTTTATGTGCAAAAATCTTGTTTCAAATTCTTTTGCTTTCATTGGAAACATGTGCATCATTCTGTTTTAAAAACTGTGAATCAGCACCTGCGACCTGTAAGAACTCAGTCCAAGTTTCTCTTGAGTGAATTGTAAATTTCATACTACCTATAACGAGTTTGACAGTTGAACATTTTAACCTCTAAACTGTTACCTATTCTGACACATTACCCGTTACCTTATATAGTTACGTGTATTGGTAACAATTCTGACCTGTTATCTAAACAGGACTTAATCAGAACTTGAATTAAGGATGTAAGGTACCTATACATTTCAGTGATATCTTCAATTCTAGAGAGTTCCATACTAGACAATTAGTAAATTATTAATTTTCATGAAAAATAATTTGGAAAAGGATAATAAAAGATTTCAAAGTACCAGAAGAATGCAGGAACATATAAAACTTGTGTAATTCTGAGTTATTATGTAATGTTAAATTTCAAAGCTTTTAGGGCTTAAAACAGTGTTAAAATTGACATAAAAGGGAGATTACTCTGACATAATTCACAAGAATATTGTGTAAGATATCATTTATCTTAAAGTATAAGGCTTGTATCCTACTTCTGGTCCGAGGTTTCGTTTGGATGGATGTCTTACCACATGAACTGTGACACTTGTGATCAATCCCAGAGACAAACTAATCACACACTGCAATTTTTTGAAAATGCACAGAATCATGTACTTAGTTCAATTTTGTTTGAGGTTTATTTCTAACACAAAAAAGGAACAAAAAACAAACCTATTATATCCAACTAATCAATGATTCCATATATACCCAATACTTATTCCTTTTCTGAAAGAATCAATTAAAACGCTGAAATACGGTAAGTGAAGTCTAAGATAATGATGTCTGTTAGAAAAGTCTGGCCCTCTTGCAAAGCAACATTTCAGAACATTACATCAGCAGCTTTGTGAGGCTAACTCAGATACATTAGATCATGCAGTGAGATGGAGATTGTCTTTAAAATGACGGGAACAAATAATGAAATTTGGCAAAACTCAATCACAAGGGACAAACAACTACTGGTACAAATAGAAATGTACTATAGCTGTGTGTTTCTTCAAAAGCAGTAAACATGGGAGATGCATTGAATTAAATGGTAACTAAGACATAGGGGAGCTCTGCCGTGTAATGAGCTATACAGGCATTCTGGGCCCGGGTGTCCCAGACTCTGGGCGTCCACGGAGAGCATGGAAAACAGTGATTTATAAAAGTAGAACTTTTCATTATAACTAGCAATTGCAGTGAGCAGAAAACAAGCACAAAGACCTTGGAATTTATAACTTTTTTAAACTGATCAAGATTCTGGTTCGTCCCTCTTGCAACCCAGTGTCAGCGTTTGTTGCAGCTCCAGATCGTTTGCACACATCCTACAGTCATCAGTTATTGATAGGACTGTAAATAATACAGAGGCTGGGTCTGTGTATCATCCAAACATATTGATATATAGGGCTTGGAAACATGACAAATTTATATTTTTTTTCTCTTTTAAATTGAAACTGCACCGGAAAAATATTCTGATCAATGCAGAACATAAACACAGATTTTTTCCCCCTGAAATCATCAATAACAATGGAGAAGATGAAACCTACTCTATAAAATTCTGCAGATCTTTAAAACTGCTGTGTGGATATATATCACCATTATAGCGTGATGCAGTTACAATCACCTTGGTGATATTGTCAGCCATTTATAATAGAAATAAGAACCAGCTCCAGTAAGATATATATTAAAACATCTGAACAACACATTTACCTTACTATGAAAGAGTCTTGCCATTACACATTATATAATGTAATTTGTGCTCTTTTATAGCAAATGAAAACACAACATACGACTGGCTTGTTTATTTCTTTTTTACAGAAGAGCTACATCAAGGGACAAAATACAAATTCATGGTTACAGACCACTATCAAGAAGAGCTCTTCTTCCTGAACATATTCTGTCAACATGGATCTAAAACAAGTGGGTTTTATTCTAATGATCTCTGCACAACAACCACACACAAACTTTATTTCAAACCTTGCACATGCGACCTTGATCTGTGTGAAAAGTTAAAGGTCAGTATCCTTAAGGATATATGCTATCCAACATGCTCCACCTGTGATTTTCATTACATATATTGCCCTTAACTATGTCAGCGATACCCAAGTCTAAAATACAAATTGTTAACAACATTTCACCCCTTTTCTAGGGTGAAATTAACTCTTTTTGGAAGGAGATGCATGTCAGTTGAAGCTATAAGCATACTCCCTTAAACAGTATTCAACATTATTATGGTTTGCACCAAAATATTGTTCATTTCACTTTCTACAGAAGGCTGTCCCGCCCTCAACAGAGCACCAGGGAAACCATATAGTATTGCAGCAGGACCCACGCACACACTGCAGTCAGTTATTGACAAAAAAGCAGGGTCATTTTAGGTCATACGTAGCCGACAGTTTTGGGACAAGTTTTTATCAATACTTGTTGATAATATCACCAATACGGTGCATATGTGTCCGATCCTCACAGACTCCAGAGCCACACTGACATGAACACCACATACATGATAGCCACAGACTCCAGAGCCACACTGACATGAACACCACATACATGATAGCCACAGACTCCAGAGCCACACTGACATGAACACCACATACATGATAGCCACAGACTCCAGAGCCACACTGACATGAACACCACATACATGATAGCCACAGACTCCAGAGCCACACTGACATGAACACCACAAACATGATAGCCACAGACTACTCAAGTACCCCATCCACAAGATAGTCGCTCATTTCTGCACGCCATACGTCTTTCACAAACATCTGTAAATGTCTGGTTAACCACCAAACATACACAACTTCATATTACTGATCAGAGAAAACACAAATACGAACACATTTATTATCATCCATTGATTTCAAGTTTTAATTATTTTTCCTTGTTTTCTTATGAAAGAGCTCCATGTATGACAACAGTTGCAACACAAAGTAATCGGCTATGTTATGTCTCCACCCCTGTTTGTCTCAACCCCTGCTTAATACACAGTGGTTACCTGCTATACAATGTCTCAACCTCTGTTGTTACAAGAATTATTGAAAAACCTTGTTTCATACTTGTTGAAAAAACTAAAGTTTATATTTATCTTTATCCTGTCCTACTAACTTACCTGGTGATAGAACAAGGCTGGTTATATACAGGGCTGGTTATATACAGCGCTGGAATAAAGGATAGATTCCTACCTCCTCTGAGGAGCTGGTAACGAAGGCGTGACAGAACTGGAGATTGATGTGTCCCTTGGGTTCCCTGGCCAGGAAGGAAAACTGACAATGGTCCGGGTCACATGTTGCATAGGAAATCCTCTTCAGGGCGTGGGCCATGTATACACTCTGGAAAGGTCAAGGTCACATTTAATGTCAATACCTCAGAATGGTCAATGGTGGGTTTAATGTCAACACTTTAAAAAGGTCAAGGTCACACATACAATTAATGCACCAGAAATACTATTTGTCACAGTAGATGTATATGCTCTAGAACGGTCAAGGTCACAGGGAATGTACAACCACTAGGGAACAGGTAATGTAAATATTCTGCAAAGCTCAGTATCACAGGAAATTTACATAATTTTGTAAAATCAAGATATAGATTGAACAAATTGACTCTCTGCAGAGGTCAAAGCTGCAGTAAATACATGCAATTTGAATAGATCAATGTCCAGGTCAAAGAAAAAGTTCGCAATCTTGAAAAAAAGTTCGCAATCTTGAAACATACTTTTATTATGTTGTCAATGTAAAAGTCTATGTCAATGTTAATCCACTGGCTGTGTCCTTGTCATCATTTCACCTACATGTAGATAACACACGCCCAATTCCTGTCAGAAGTCCTTCACACAATAAAGCTGAGTGTCATGAAGAAGAAATCTGTAACAACTGAATTTCTAGACACGGTTTTACAGTCAAGTGTGTGTCTAGTGATAGGACACTGGTATAACACAAGTTACACTAGCTATAATATACCAAACTGTCTGTAATAGCTGATGCCCTAATAAAGAGGTCAGACGGAGTTGTCAAACTCCGTGGCAGATAGTTATAGCAGTGGCTGAACACACTGGAGGGCTATTCATCGCCTTTAATTATATTTCATTCAAAACTGGTCTAAAAATTATCCAAAAGATTTTTTTTACTGTATGAAAGTGTGTTAATGGGTGGAGGAGGTATCATTGATCTGCTTCCTGTGTATCAGAAATATTACATACATATACACCTGTTGAAAGGGTGACCCATTCACCCCTAAAGTCACACTTAAACCTTACCGAATCAAAGTCTGGGCAAATCCAGTTTAGATATGTAGTGGTGAAGGAGTGAATTTAGGTGCTGTTAGCATACCTACACTATGTAAGTATTGTTAACATCCAATAAATCACACATCATTACATCAGCTAACACATGTTCCATAGGAAAGGGCTTAATATAAGTTTGATAACTTGTGCCCAATCCATTTGCTTGGCAATAAAATATGTTTTTAAACTAATGTTCCATAATCTAATTGAATTTACAGTCTTTTAGCTGTGGAGTTTTTCAGATTTTGAATGTGGTTATAGTTCCAGGCCTAAACATCATCACCAACATTTTAAGTCTGCCTGAAACTGAGCTCAAGCCTAGTTTCTCGAAGACCTAACATAGAAACTGAAGCTTATGCTCAGCCTAAAGGGGACTAATTATGGTGAAGCTTTGGTGAGATTGAGGCTCGAATCATCTCTGATACCTGCAAGATTTCTTCTCCAGCAGAGATTGGGAAAACGTTATTTTCAGAAATTTTAACATACCTGGTTATCTCTGAAAAAAAATATTCTACAGGGTCAACCATAACACAGCAATCTTGAGTGAAGACGATCGTCAGTCTAGACTCCCTCAATATATCTGCAGTTCTTAGAACACAGACCTTCAAATCCAACTTCGCTCATTTTAAGGTTAAACTCAGGTAAAACTATCTAAGTTAGGCACATATTAATCATCACAGGGCAGGATATGTATCACACATGTACCTTGTTTCAATGTAAGCCATACAATTTTGTTGAAGACCAAGACTCTATTGTTCACAGCCTGGATAGTCTAACTGGTTTTTAACAATAAATTCAATATCTTACTTTTTTCAGATATATTGAAAATTTTATTTTTATTTTCGTTTTCTGTCAGAAAATATTCATTTTGAATCTCCAAAGATACAGTTTTATCTTTAAATTTCAAGGATTTCAACATAATCAAGATTAATGTTTTGTATGAAATGTTGTTAAGCTAACCAGACATTTGAAATTATACCCAAATTCTGTGTGCAGATGTCAATAGCAAAAAGTCTCGTTTATCAGTGTTTAACAAGCACTGACTTCCAACAAAACTCACCTCAGCTCCTGTTGTCAGATTATTTTTTTACCCTATAGAAACATGAATGCTACCTTATGGATTAAATCAATTTTTGTATTGTTAAGTCTGGCCTCTAATGGACGCAGTGATAAGTTATTGTGCCTGTGCGTTCTCTGTATGACCAGTCTGCTGTCATGTGTGCACCATCCTGCCCCACAACACAAATGAAATTTTACCGGGGTTAAATTGAATTTAATGATCCGTTTGTGAATCCATCCCCCTAATCTGTGCCCATGATAATTGCTCATTACCATACTCAGTGAGCAGCATTGTCAGCGCTCAGTGACCCCTTGTCTTACAATACATTGTTAAACTCCAAAATTCATTTATACATTCAACTATAATTCAAACAAAGCAAACGTATCCACAACTAATTCTGATATGTCATTTTTGCTGGATTTATTCCCAGCAGGAGCTGCTACCCAATTTGCCAGCTAGGTAGACTTGGTAAATGATGCTGCTCCAAAAACCTCAAATGGAAAGTTCACTATAAGGATACCTTAGAATTTACATATAAAGATGTCGGTCTATATGTCATCTATATATTTTCCTTGATATCTCCATTAATTATGAATACGAGATGTGTTAGCTATATTATGACATATAATCTAAACTGTTTATTATGACATATTATCTAAACCGTTAAGTGGTATCTATCTCCTACATTAAAAGTCATGCAAAGACAAATGAAAAAATAAAACCCCATCCATGTCCAGAATGCGTCCCGAAAAGATATCACTGTTAATGACAGTAGGTGCCAAACATATGTAATGTGTGGGACCAAAATATTGTGACAACCTATATCCTAACGCACTGACTACAACATAAATGTTTTGATAAGTGAATAACAAGAAGGTGGGGTTCCATGCACACAATGTGACGCACATGTGTGTTGGACCTGGTCAAGCCTCATCGTGTGTGTTGGACCTGGTCAAGCTTCATCGCACATGTATTTTGGACATGGTCAAGCCTCATCGCACGTGTGTGTTGGACCTGATCAAGCCTCATCGGAGACAAGATACCTGATCTGGTTCAATTTCTGTCACTGGACAGCCCTGGCAGCTTTGACAAATATGATATTTTTCAGTCAATGTACATGCCTGGACCTAACAGACTGGACATTATTTGTGGTCAGTATATGTCAGGAAGGTCAACATGCTGTCTCCTATTTCACATACAAAGGTCAACCTATTGTCTCCTATTTCATACACAAACTATTTACAACTGTCACAAAAATGTCAACGATATCGTGGTACAAGAAAATAACTAATCTTTGATTCCCCCCCACCCCACCCCCTTTCTAGATATCTACAGTTTTTTATAACATAGACACAGGCTGCTATGAAACTCAGGTAAAAATGAATACTGGTTGAATTAAGCACAAGCAAACATGTTTAAAGAAAAGCTTAATGGAAACCGAATCATATTTGTTGGTTTATATTTAAAAATGTTTAAATATTATGAGAAGATTGAAATACAAGTCAAACTAAACAATATTCTTGTAGACATATTCAATTGGTAGACATTTTCTAATTTATAAATCAGTCAAATAAAACAAAATTTTCAATTATAGTTTCGATACAAACACAATCTACTAGTGTTTTTATTGACAAAAGATGCCAAAGGCAACTCAGGTAAAGCTCTAACATCAGAAGGGAGCTACATGTAAATCCTTCAATGATCTATATCAGTCAAACTCGGATGCATTTATAACCCCATAAACTGCCTCAAAGGAGTTCACATATTTACATATCCGCCATCCACATCTGGCTCCCAACAGTGGCAACATCTTACAGTGACAGGTTAATGCTTATAAAACAAATCTAGTGTTTATAAATGTTATTAAAAACTGTTGTGCCTACTTTTTTTCATAGAGATTGATAGTGGAATTTACCATTACGTAATGAGAAATGCAGCATGGCGTGCTGTTTTGTAGAATGTGAAATGCTTCACAAATAAATGGAGTAATACATCATGCTAACATTGCCTGACATCTCTCCGTGATACTGGTACACGGTATATATATACATGTGTTGTTGTTTTATTTCAAAAGATTTTACTGTTACATAACAGGGTTAAGAACATATTGTTTAGATTTTACAGACCAGATGTGGTTACTGCTGTAATCATAATAAAAGCACATTAGAATTGTTTAGTACTGTGAGTACATGTTTATTTGTCACTGGAAATCTGGCAAAAATTATTACCTCAGATATTGTTTAAATATTACAGAAATTATTTGTCGTTGAAAATCTCGCAAAGCTTACCTCAAATATTGTTTAAATATTACAGAAAGTATTTGTCATTGAAAATCAGGCAAAATTTACCTTAGATATTTATTCAAATATGACAAATTATTTTATTTTTTTGTTACTGCCAACTAAATTTTCAGATAAATGCAATTTTAATACCAAAGGTCCTTCATTTCCCGATAAATTAAGTTTGGTTGTCTTAGTAAACTGTCTTGGGAAATATCCCAGTTAATCCAGACAGGTCACTTACCTAGCCACCTTTGTTTCCTGTCAAAACTGACAAGATCAGTGACACAGCTGGATAATTTCTGTATAGAAAATCAGGGAACTGTTTTCCATCACCACTGTAATATGATTTATACATGTCATAGAGAGTTACACTATAGAGTTACCTCCCCATTGCTGCTGCAGACTTTTATCCCGGACAAGGAGATGACCAGCAGGACCTTCTTACTTTTGCCCACAGTCTGAAAGAGAAGAAGAAAATAGTGAAACTTCCTGATCAATCTGATGTTATGAACTATTAAGAAGAATATAATCAACAAATAAATAAATGGCAAATGTTGATCAACAACATACACAAGTTGTTAATGCTTGTAGCAAATATTGAAGGATAGAAGAGATGAACTACTACGGTAATGTCCTAAAAAAATGTTATCATTATTATTATAAAGAAGTTATGGCAAGCAGAGCAAACATACAGATTGTAGTTTACAGTCTTCTGGCTGTTTTACTCAAGGCGTGGTAACAAATTTACATCTTGAATAGCTGATACCTGCCTGACCTTGGATTTGAAGAGTTCAGGCTTTAACAGATAACTCCCCCACTGTGTATGGCTATCCCTGTTTGTGATTCTGTTACATAACTTAGGTCTTTTAGTACACTACGATTATTAGGTTATAAGGATTGCATTGCTCAAAATTTGTTTTATTTGTCAATTCATGGGGAAATCGAATAGAAAAGGATATTCAATGTCAGGTCAACAAAGAAATACAGTATTAAATATTAAACATTTCACCGTTAGTAAAAATGTCAAATCAAATATATGCTTACATAAACAGTTGATATGCAGTGAACGTGTTGTGTTATATCAGGTATACCGTTACCCCCAATACTGTCCATCAGACCACACACTGTGCCCCAAAGTTTCCATATCTTTAACAATAGCCTACAGGGCTTTAAATGTGAAGCTTGTATTCTAGCTTGAAATCTGCCCAGTAGTTTACGAGGAGAGTCCGTAGAAATGCTAGCTACCTTAATTATACAAGTTTTTATACTCATATTCCAAGGATGCTACTTGAACTACCAAAATCTGGTTCAAACTTGTCCAGTGGTTTTGTCTAGGATGTGAAGTACAAAATTAAATCAACCAAATTAGATCTGACCTCAGCCCCTTTGTTTGTTTTTCTTTTTATCACCATTGGCTATGAATACTACCACCATAATTTGGTTGAAATCTGCTGAGTAGTTTTAGAAAAGAGGTTGTTTAATGCAAATTCCTAATATGACCACTTTTGGCCCTGCTCCTCCACACACAAGAGGGTTACAGACCCTTAACTAGTCCCCTAAGTTAAAGATCTTACCACCAAAACTTAATTGAAATCTGCTCAGTAGTTTGGGAGATGTCGATCAAAACACCAAAGCATGTTCTCCTTGTCCTTCTTTGTAATAGGTGAGCCAGAAATTTCACCTATCTTATATTCAAGATACCACTATTGGAACAGACTGTCAAAAGATGTTTTTTCCTTTGTGTACTGTATATTTCTTGTATACAATGTGTCATAAAATTCGCCTTTTGAACATGTATAGAAATCCATGGGTCCCTTGGGTGAACACCTTCAGGAATATTTAAATCAAAATATCTCTACCGGTCATTTCTTGTTTCAAAATCAATGTGCTCAAGCTTTAAACAGAAATTTTAATCAGCACATATCTATAAAACTAATTCAAATATATTTAGAATCTTTTTTTTAATCAAACCAAAATCTAGGTAATGTTTATTGTCATGGGAACGGTACTGTGTGAGGCTGTGAGTACAACAAGTGTATTACGATCACTGGCTCCAGCCAGACCCCTATATAACAACACAGCACACATATAGAAACTTGATGAGTGAGTGTGTTTAGATCTAATTTGCTGATTGAAAGAAAGAAGAAATTGTTTGTGATGCATTCATAGCGTAACACACTGACATCCTTTCAACCAGCAAATTTACAATGAAGCATCTCCGCTACCAAATCTAAAACAATCATATTAAATGTCAATGACTACACAGGTTATCTGTTGAATAAATTCTGTTTTTACTGTTTTCACAGATGACATAACATTTAATGGGATAATATCTAATGAAATAGTGATAATAAAATTGTGTCCTATTTTCTGTCGACAAAGCAAGCCTTGAATTACAATGAACCCATTTGTTTGTCCTCAATGTTTTGTTTGTCAGAACAATTTTTATTCTACTAGATGATCTTCCTGACTTTTACCCTATGACTTTTGACCTCCTCTTGACCTATAGCTATGACCCTTTCACAGTCACAACAAATGAAGAGATCTAGAGGATGTAGGTTCTACCATTGTTCTATAGTCATGGTACTGACTACTCATGTATAAGGTTAAGGGTACAACTGCATCAGTTCTGCTAGCTTACAGTTACTTCTCCTGCCAAAATTTTCAATTATAGTAAGGAATGGCACTACATATATATATATATGTTCCATTAAACTAAATCCCTGAATTTGTTCTAAATTTTGCTTTTAAATACTTATTTCAAACAAATGAAATTCTGTAAAATATGTCGCAAAATGAAATTCATATGGAACATTTCTGTGAAAAAGAACAAATAATTCACAATAGTGAAAACAGTCAATATATATTTTAGCTTGACAGTACTCTATACCTTATCTTACAAAAAGAGGATTGGATATTTGGTGAGCTGCTTCATCCAAACTTCCACAGACCAGCTAGAGCTGTAACGGAGATCAACGCTTCTGATAAGTTCTACTAACTTGTCAGTCGCCTTTTTTCAGGGTCCAAAATTGACTGACAATTTCTGGCAGTGGGTAATCCAGTTTTCCGTTATCTATGATATAATTTCCTGTCTATCACAGCCCCTCGCCAGACTCGTCTGGTATAACTTGTAACACAATTTCCGCACAAAAAGTGCCATACAAAGATTAATCTCTATCATATTTCTTCACCAGATACGATAGTTCCATACAATTCTTGTAAAAGATTCCAAAAGCAATAAGTAGACAATTAAAAAATGTATTGTTATCTTCCTGAACCACTTTGTGATGTAGCCATTCACACTTATGTAATGATCTTGTAAGGGACACCTGGCCTGCAGGGTTTCATGAAAGTAATTAACTTGAAGAATGTTTTCAATTTACAAAATAAGATTTGGGCAAAAGCAGCTAACAATCTTTTTTTGAAATTGAATTCAGAAAACTAAATACATTTTCTCTACGGTTATTATTATATCCATTGTTCAAATCAAATGAGAGATTTGGATTACATTAACGATAATTTCTAAGGAATGTTTGTTATGTACATCATAATGTGTACACGACCTAGTGTTGTTTCAACTTTGATAATTGAGTAAAACATGAGGCTAATTGGATAGAGGTGAAGGCAGTACACTCATATGATAAAACTTTCCAAGTGAATTGCAGTTGTAAGGTGCATCCTTGATGTGTACATGTACTTAGAATCATCCAGTATGAATGCTTCTCACAAAGGTCGTTAACACAGGTACATTTTGGTACACTTTTAACTCATTTACCCCTACATGTCTAAACTGGACCTGCACAGTCATTGATTTGGTAAGGTTCAAATCTGACTTTCGGGGTAAATGAGTTAAACCCACCACATACCAGGTGACAAGCTCGGTCAAAACAGGAATGCATTTCCACCCTATACTTCACAGGTGTATTCCGTTTTTGCTAGGGAAAAGATAAACCTGTCTTGATCTACATAGAAACAGCTAACACAAGCTTTCCTTCTGAAAACTTCAACAATTAAAAATGTCATCAAACAAAATTACTTTATGCAGCTACGATGTGCAAATAGGATGGTAACCAAAGACTTCCCGATATCTTGAACATATCAATCTAAGATTTTTTAAATCAGCATCAATCAAATTCAATTTCAAACTAAATTTTGTAAACATCAGCTCAATAAAATGATTCGATGGATTAGAGTATTTTTTCTTAGAAGAAAACAAATAAAATGGAAGATGTAAAAGAAGTCATTAGATGATCGATTGACTCTGCAAGATCCCAGCCCTCCGTACAGTACAGTACCTCCTCAGCTTCCCTATCCTTACTCAAACAGATATGGATGACCTAAATAAAAGCACCTCGACCTTGATAAAACAATGAAACAATAGAAAGCTATAGACTTCAACTGATGTCCACTATGATGTGTTAAACTTTGGCATTAACTGTGGACCCATGTCAATTTGAAGTTATGGGAGGTGAGCAGTTTAAAGGCGTTGTGGGACCTTTAAATCAGAGGTTATAGCTTATCTCCCTTGTTCTCTTCTGGGTAATTACTTCATCAATATTGGCAGACAGACAGAATATACCAAAGGTCAACCATCCAAATAGCTCAATACTGTCCAAAATACTGTCCTGAGGTATACCATATATATTCTAATGTAGACCCAACATAACTGGTATTCCTATGATAGGCTTAATTGCATGCTGTTGTTGCTTCTGAGCTGTTGCTTTTTTTAAAATTAAATCTGCATGATGACAAAATGTTTTATTGCAAAGCTTTAGGCATCATAATACGTTCCCAATCTTTTTCACTTTGATTATCTAACTCACTGAAGCTCTTTTCATAAAAATCATTTGAAAGGAACTCGCTAGTAAGAAATCTGATACATAAAATTACTTTGATATTAAATTGCTTGTAAGAATCAGTCATTGAGCTCTTTACGTAAATTTCTATAACTAGATATATACTGTTAGGGTGATTTTTTGCTGGGTCCTATTATTTTTTTCATCTTTCGTGGTTACACTAAATTAGAAGGAATTTAATCCATCTTTCATATAGCATTATGTGCTATGGCCACTAGACCTAGCATCTGCAAAAAATGTATCCCAAAAAATTAACCTTTGTTAAAATCAGTAAAAATTTGGTGACACAAAGAGAGAAAAAAAAGGGAATTTTTACAGCATGCAGTTTTAAATCATATAAACTGAAAACTTACTTATCTCAGTGCATTAAAAAAAATTGAGGATAATAAAAAATGAAACATTTTATTTTATATTAGCACATTATATATGAATCATAAATTGGTGCACCAATGGGCCACAAAATGTGCAAATAAAAACAAAATTCAGGAAATTGAATTGGAACAATCATAATTTAGAACAACATTTGAAGCATGAAATTGCTAAAATAAGACTATCACTAAAATATATACATTGACAGTATTCCAATATCTAACCAATGTAGTGAGTTGTATGTTGTAGAAGTTTCCCCGTGGCATTGTTCCATGGAATCTTACTTCTGATAGTTCCTACTGGTATGTACCCTGAAGTACATTGGCAAATTTTCCTCTGACAATCATTCTACTTCTTGCTTTTAAAACTAAACATCTCATTTTTAAGTTATCAGTATAACTTTTTTTATCGTTTTCTGGTCGTAATTTCAAAACCTTGCTTTAAAGAAATCCTCCGTGAGTTTCTTGATAAAATATGACATTCTTTCAAATGACTTTTATAGCATTTCCTTCATCAATATGATTGAAAGTTGGAGGAAGACTCAAAAACATATATCTTATTACATATTTTGATATATTGTCTCTGAAAAATGATTTTTTCAGCTAAAAATATTCAAATTGAAAGTTTTAATGAAAATTTGATTCCTCTTTTGATGTTATGTAATATCATGTCTGTGAAACTAAACACAGTTTTCTGATCATGACCTGTTACAAAAATTTGATGATGAATCTGATAGATCGACTTTCAGGTCCCCTCACAAACAAACAAGGGTATTGATCAAGAATCATACAGATCAACTTTCAGGTCCCCTCACAAACACACAAATATTGATGATGAATCTTATAGATTGACTTTCAGGTCCCCTCACAAACACACAAATATTGATCAAGAATCATACAGATCAACTTTCAGGTCACCTCACAAACACACAAGGGTATTGATGATGAATCTTATAGATCAACTTTCAGGTCCCCTCACAAACACACAAATATTGATGATGAATCTAATAATCAACTTTCAGGTTCCCTCACAAACAAGCAAATATTGATGATGAATCTTATAGATCAACTTTCAGGTCACCTCACAAACACACAAGGGTATTGATGATGAATCATACAGATCAACTTTCAGGTTCCCTCATAAACACACAAATATTGATGATGAATCTTATAGATCAACTTTCAGTCCTATCACAAACACACAATGGTATTGATCAACTTTCAGGCATATCATAGCCAGAAATACAATTCACTGCTGCTGTATCTGCTCCCTCAATGTGATCATAAAATACACATTTAAACGCACAAGATGAAATTAATAATGATTTTTTTTTGTCAATTTCACAGAAAGTTGCGTGACATGTATAATGTCTGCAAGACTGTGCCGTCTTCTGGGTGAACCTGATAAACAGTATCTATAAAGAATGATGCACCCTCAAATCAACAATCTAGCTGTGTCTATATATAGCTAACTGATAGTGGGGTAGGAGATCCTCAGCCAGAGGACAGGGTATTATCAGCATGTCACACTGTCTACTGTTACCTCCTATTACATCGCAAACGTGAGGAGAAGCCGCTTTTAATTTGTAATAAAATGTTCTGATATTTTAAAACAGAATTCTGGATCACAGGCCCAAACAGATAGGAAAAGGCTTATCTACCAATGCTATCTAAGATCGATCTAAAAAGGTCATCTCTGAACAATTTAAGGTTACATAAGGTTAGTTAAACAAGGTCATCTAAAGTCAATTAAACAAGGTTATAAATATTTTGGCCACAAACTCTTTTTAATGGTCACTTATTACATTCATGTCCTCTAGTAACTGGGACACATTTTGGCCACAAGTGTTTTTGAATGGTCCCTTACCCTCATGTCCTCTAGGTGACTTTGGACACATTCTGCCCGAGCATTCTGGTCAGCACCTTGGACAGAGAAGCTTCCGATGTACTGAAATATCAATAAAGATTTCAAATTACAAATAGTACTGATTAATATGTATACCCCTAATGAGCTCAAGAGTTATTTCTAAGAAAGTGGATAATTCATAAAATGCACTTACTACTAAATTTCATATATAGTGTGTAATCACCAAATATCAAGGAATACATCGTATTATGCAATAGCTGCAGCTATTGTATACATTTGTTGGACGATCGGTTGGCAGCTGAGAGACCACAGAACGTTTATACAAGCTCAACTAGTGATTGCTTTGTGCCATGCAATATGATGGTGATTGATTGCTTTATCTACTGATCGTATTTTGTTGACAAAAAGTCATACCACAATGGAATTTGTTTGAAAATCTGCATGGGAACACCTATCAGAAATATGATGTATAATAAAACGGTTTGAAAATTTACTCAAACATATCAAATCTGTGAAATAAATCAAAGATTCTAACACATCTTCAAAACAGACCTGAACATTTTTCTATGCAAATATACAGACAGTGATAAACCAGTAAAGGACACAAGATCTGTAACTATCGGAAACGGCAATATCTTTTTAAAACACCAAATTCCCTACAAAACAATCTGATCTTTAAAGGTTGACATCTGTTAACCAACAGAAGGAAAACTGGAAGGGTAGATCTGCTGAGCTAAACTTGAGATGCAAGGTCCAGAGTTTACCCTTAAACTTGACAAAAGCTTGATCAGAACTTAGAAGCAGAGAAGATTTCCCGGGTGATGACTAAAGTCAAGAGAAGATTTCCTGACCTGACTTAATCATGATGGCTATTGAGAGCTTCAAAGGAGAAGCTTTGCTAACTTAAAATAAAATATTATCATAGTTAGAGACATGAGGAGAAGCTTGCTGACCTAACCATAAACCTGATGATGGCTAAAGAAACAAAGGTTTAACTGACCTACACTTAAACACAATGACCGCTTACACTTAAACACAATGACTGCTAGCTAGTGTCCTAGATAGAAGGGATATATAGACCTAGACCAAAAGATGCATGATGATGGGTTAAGTTCAATGATCAGAGAAGAGGTCTACTGACCAGAGAGACTTTTGACCCATGATACATCCAGCTATCTATACCATTGACATTATATATATACCTAATACAACAACTTTGATCTACTCTGTAAACCTATTGACCTGGTCAAAGGGCTATTGATCTTTACAGCATACAATCTTTTCATTGGGCACCAGAGAGTGTTCAGTGTAAAGTGACCCCTTTGGGGTATATCTTTCCCATCTATTGCTTCAAACCTAGCCACCAGACAGAGATCATACATTTTCCCTCTTGGACTCCATCACATATTTACAGCTATCCTTCAGATAAATTTCTTTATAACCCCTAAATTCCTCCTATTCCATCTATTACTTCAGATATTTCATCAGTTACCCCTTCTCATGCCTCTATCCTACATTGTAGCTTCAGATCTTCAGGTAACTACTTGACAGTTACCCCTTCTTGTGCCCCTATCCTACGCCCTAGCTTTAATTTAGACCTAGCTACTGGACAGAGGTATTCCATCTTTTGTCCCCATCCCATCTTCAGCTTTAGACCCAGCAATTTAAAAGGGTTCTCCCTTCTTGTGCCCTTATACAATTTATAGCTTCAGACCTAGCTAAAGTAACCCCTTTTTGTGCCTTTTCCCACCTGTTGCTTCAGACCTAAGAAAGCAGACAGCTTCAGTGTAAAGTTAATTTTGAGATGATATCTCCATACCAAGGGATTACATCTTGTGAATGTCAGACGACTATCTATACTGCCCAACTTTCTCATCCATCTTATTATCTTGACAGATTTAAAGTTTCTTTTTTTCAGATAACTGTTCCTTAAGGATATTATAGTACAGTAAGAGTAATGGGAAGGACAAAAGATCTGTCTTGAATGCTTCCACTGGATGTAGCAAATTTTATATATATGTGACTTTAAAATTAGCAAAACTGCTGTCAAAGGAATGAACGGTACAAGTATTTTCTAAATCCTGTGAGAGCTAAACTCTCATATCTAGGAATGTTGTGAAGATACAGATGTAATAGAGGTGATGATATAGTTTTGAGAAAAAATGTGCCAAAATGTGATAATACAAACTTCTTTGATAGGCCCTGATAAACAATGTGAGGTGAGGTTGTGTTTATTAGGTGAACTCTGCATGGTTGTAAGTGAAGCACATGGCCTGCAATAGGGCTTGATAAAAGTGGGAGGACACATACAGCAATCATTTACATTCCATTATCATTTCACAGTCTCTGTGTCAAGGACCTCTACAACATATATCAAGATCTCTTATACTTCTCTGATCCTCTAAGTGTTTCATCACAGCTAAAAATACCAGACTCCCCAAATAAGGACACTATACTGTTACTTCAAACTGTGTTAAATGAAACAGTAATTTCTTTTGCTGTTTTAAAAATATTTAAAAACCATTTCACTGATACAAAATTTCCCAGTCTGCTATATAGTATGTTAACTTCAGTCAGTTATTTATTACATTATTATTCTTGATTGTATTGTACAAGTGAAAAAGACAAATAAATATAATTTTTAAAAGTATTAAATTTCACAACATAGAATATGTAGTAACATAATTACATCATCATTATACTTTGAAATGAATAAATGTTCATTTTATTTAATGTGATGCATTATTTCTTTTTGAAATCTAATTATAATTACAATTATGACTTTATTACTATTTTTTGTGGCAGTAATTTGTTTAAATCTAATTATTAAACAGCAGTGATTTTTGTACCTTTTTTCCACAGAGGCCTGCCGATTTAGGACCCACAAACAGTATGATTTGGGAAAATAAAGCGATTTTTCATTGAACATTGGGAAAAACAGCAGAAATTATCCAGAGAAATTGACTTCCATATGGCCTTATTTTGGCCGTTAGAGACACAGTACTTTGAATACAACCACCGAGTGTCACTGTTTGACTTACAATACACGACAGACCTGCAAATGACCTTTTTGATACCTTCAATTATCACCAAGATTTCCTTAAACATGCAGGTATCACAAAAAAGTATACCTGTTTAATTCTATAAAACACTGGGTGTTATTTATGTCTGTACACTTTATAGAAAAATTACACAGAAAAATCATCTTAGAAATTATCTGTTTTCAAAATTTCGTAATTTTAACAACTTTTAATACAGTGCCCTTTCTCCACGTAATGTGTATGATGTACTACTGAATTTGTGTAACCTACATCACAGTCTTCAGTCCAATCAAATACAGCCCACACTTCCCATCATACCACAGAACACAAAGTCGCCAATTATTTGAATTTTGTTTGCAAACTGAAAATACTTTTATACAAATTTGATTACCTGCATCAAATTTTAACAGATGTTTATATAATTTCAATCAAGGTATCGGTAATTTCAATTTCAAGAATAGAAAGAATTTACATTGATTTTCTGGTGTGTTTTCGGCAGCAGTACCCCGAGATAATGAACCAGTGGTTGTGACGAAGGGATTGAATGCTGTACAATCTACATTCCACAGAATTTAGAGAAAATTAGATCTACCATTCCATTTAACTTAACAACCAATGTTTGTATGGAATGTTGTACATGAGCGTAAATGAAATTTGTGGGCACATCTTACCCCTGATTAACTGCTGGGTTGGCAGGAGAAGAAAACTAGCTGTCTCACTAATGTGCCAAGCTCCATATTGTGGTATTATAACTACCCTACAAGTCAGATCTAATTTCCACAGCAGGCAGGTTGCATTGGTGCTTCACCCTGTCCTAGAAGCCAATGACAATATCATGATCATCAGCTTCACAAGTAGACTACACTAACAGGTTAAGATACTACATGGATGTATAGAAAATCTATTAATCCTTCGAGGAGTCAGAAAAGGTCAACAATTTAAAATTTATTACAGGAAATGACCAAACCGAGACATGCTATAATTTGTCAAGTTTCTGATCGGGTACAAACCATCTGATCGATCAATGATCCATAATATTATATACTTCAATAGAAGTATTTCTACTAGGACCAAGGTCAAGAGTCCTCAACTAGACGATATACAGGACTGCTGCGATGACATAACTGATAAAGACTAGACAAACAGGGAGTTGCTATAGGGTAGTAGTTATGGAAAAACACATCCAGGAGTTAATTCATTTATAACAAAATGTTTTTGATACATCATACATATATCCCATTTGTCTGCCTTACTTACATGATGTAATTAGCCGACAATATGTTGCTATTTCAATGTGTATTTGCCTGCCAAAACCACAGAGGACTATATATTTACACCGATAAACCACACAGATCAAAGCTACCCAATACCATTTACATCTCTTCAATTAACATTTTAAAAATGTGAAAATGATCTGATATTCAAGCACATTAATTCTACTGTAGATATATGAATCGTACCAATAAAATATTTATACTGCCAGGAATGCAGGGACAGATAACATAGTTAAATACTGCCAATCCTCCCCGTGTGTAAATTAGTGGTGAAATAATGTTGGGATCTTTCCAATTCACATATATATATCTGTTACCAGAAGAATGGTCCTATCATCACCAACACAAAGAACTGGTGCTACCACTCTCCGTTACAATACAATTTGGGCGACTTTCCCCCAACCGTTAATTCAATGAGAAAAGAAGATCAAATACCGTTATTCTTCTTCCAAGCTGATTAGTTTTCTTGACCGATTGAGCGGAACTTTGACCAATTAGAGGTTGACCGACTGGACAGAGACTTTGTCTGACTCCCCATGGCCAGACACTAAACAATGTGCTATACTTCCTTTGTTAGAGTTTGTGTGTTATTGTGTAAACCCATTGATTGGTTAGTCATCTTAGAAGCTGTCCCTAGCCACTTTGTAGTCAGTCAGCCCTATAACAGCTCCTCATACAGAAGCAATCCAGTCACAAGAACCATCCAAGATAGTAAAAAGTTGTTTCTAAATGAGACAAGATTGGAGAAAAAGAATTAAATGATTAT